AGAGGGTCAGAGGGAGAAGCAGACTCCCTGCTGAGCAGGGAGCCCGATGCGGGACTCGATCCAGGGACTCCAAGATCATGACCTGAGCCGAAGGCAGTCGCTTAACCAACTGAGCCACCCAGGCGCCCGACAAATGATGGCTTATTGACATTGAAGGTCAAGTACTGGTCAGAACTAAGGGGGCTGTTGATTAAAATCTTGAGTCTGCTGTCTAGCTATAGAGAGATGGGGTCAAAGTCTGAGGTATTTGCACTCATGATATATCATGGAGCAAAGACCAAAGGGTAGAACAGAGTTAACTAGAGAGGAACGTAGTTTGCCTGGGTATAGGCAAGAAGAGCATTTCTAATTATTAGAATTACCCTCAGAATGGACTGCTTCGAGAGATATAAACTACTGGTTCGTGAAGATATTTAAGCATAAACTAGGTGATTACTTGGGGGTATAGAAGTTGGTGATCCAACATCATTTATGTTAGACTGTGTGTTGTTGAAAGTCTCCCTTTACCCTGAGATGCTAGGGTCCTCTGGTTTCGGAAAGTTTTGACTACATAATCGTCATGCTGGGAACCCAGATTCAGTCCAGCACCTATTTATTAAGTCCTTACCGTGTGCCAAGCATTGCCCTGCATAGACATGAGGAAGACAACAGTAAGATAGGGCAGCTGCATTTGGAGTTAGGCTGGGTCATGGCTTTAGTCAGTTCTTCATTGGGCGTATATTCCTTCTTGGCAATATGCACATGCTGATTTAGGACTCTGGTTCTTTCTCTTCCTTTTAGGCTGGAATCGATGGGGAAAGCATTGGCAACTGCCCCTTCTCTCAGCGTCTCTTTATGATCCTCTGGCTGAAAGGCGTTGTGTTCAATGTCACCACTGTGGATCTGAAAAGGTAAACAGTGCTGTATTAAGGAGGGATGTGTTTGGCTGCACGAACAGAGAACTTTCCAGGAGGGAGGGCGGAAGCCTGCCTGTGGCTTCCAGCAACCTCCTGCTCTTACCACATTGGCCAGACGGTGTCTCAGGGCCCATCCCTGATTACAAGAGAGGCACTGGGACTGAGCATTTCTCTGCCCAGATTAACAAGGTTTGAGTAGCAAGAAAGGGGGAAGGAGTGGATATTGGATATGCAACTGAGAGTGGCCCAGAGGTGGACATGCATATCTTAAAATCCAGGAGTCAGCCATTCCAGCGGTACCATCCTGGGGGACTCTACCAGGACTTCAGGTGTAAGAGTCTGAGTTTCCAGGGCGTTGGCATCTGACCATTTCTCCTTGAGTTGCTCTCATTTTTAGAATTCCTTAGTGTGAGAGTTCTGGATTATAGGCTGGGGATGGAGAGTTCTTCGTGCACTTTTAATGGTTGTTAAAAATACCAGGCATCATTCACTATCAAGAGCCACTCATTTCAGGCTCGTATCCTGCCTCCTGTCTTCTGCCTGGCCTTTCAATGCAGAGTAGTTCAAGGCTCACTCCCTGAGCCTCTATCATCTGCCTGTAGCTTCTTCCCTGGTGAGTTTAGCATAAATTCTTCACATCGCCTTTATGTAAATTATTCTATACCCGGGATTCTACCATCTAGAAATCTCTAGAGAGATTTCCACTTGCATTTTCTATTATCACTTTAAAATCTCGATGTCAAAAATTCTATCTGTCATTTCTCCTTTGAGCCCCTCCTGGATTCCTGGGTTCTTCCATTTTCTAAGCACTGGAGAATTTCCAGCTCCCTTTTCTTGCCATCCCCCTTGTCAACCAGTTGCCAAAGGCAGGGCATTGTCCCACTGTGCTATGGCTCACCTCCGAGCCCTCTCCTCCGTTCCCAAAGTCCACACTGGGTTCAGGTCCCACCACTGCCCTCAGACTGTCTCTTTGTTCTTCCAACTGGACATCTTCCTTCCAGGTTCTCTCTCTCTCTATAGTTCTTTAATCATGTGGCTCCCCCACTCAAAAAACCTTCTGATACTTCCCGTTGCCTATGGAATAAACCCGTCTGTAGCTCTTTGCCAGATCTTCAGCTTTCCCAACATTGTCTCCCAATGCTTCTCGCCCTGACCTAGCCGCCTCTGTCTGGCTGGACTACCTCTCGCCCCATCCCCTTTAGCTGCCAGCCCCTGGCTAGGATGCTTCCTCTGCCTCACAGATGCTCTCCTGCCTTCCTGAATGGACAGACTGTGCCCAGTCCCCAGGCGCAGCAGCTTCAGCCTCCCTCCCCTGGATTATCATCTGCAAGTACGTTTGCCTGGGGATCAGAATGGGAAGGGAAGCCACCTCAGCATTCCTCAGATGCTTATATTGCTCCTTCATATCTGTTATCTGACCCTACCGATGCCCGTTGAGGCAGGCCGGGCAATATCCCAACTCCAGTTCAATAGATAAGGAAACTTTCCTACTGCAATAAATAAATAAATAAATAAATAAATAAATAAATAAATAAATTTTTAAAAAGGACAGAAAAGGAAAGAAACAAAAACAAAGAAAGAAAACATATATATATAATAAAGAGTTAAGGACTTTTTAAAACATATGATACTATAGGGACGCCTGGGTGGCTCAGTCAGTTAAACGTCTGCCTTTGGCTCAGGTCATGATCACGGGGTCTTGGGATCGAGCCCCGCATCGGGCTCCCTGCTCAGCAGGGAGCCTGCTTCTCCCTCTGCCTACCATTCCCTCTGCCTGTGCTCTCTCTCTCTCTCGCTGACAAATAAGTAAGTAAAAATCTTTAAAAAAACAAACATATGATACGACGAAGTTTAGCAATTTCTAAGAATATTAATTTCTTATCCTGGCACCACCATTTGTTGGCCGAGTGACCTTGAACAAGGTCCTTCGTTTGTCTGAGCCTCGGTTCCCTCGTCTGTATGATGGGGACGCAAGCACTGCCTTGTTCGCAGAGGAACTGTGAGGATGCCGCGAGGCAGGCCACGGGAAGCATTTGCGTCCAGGACTGTGCCTGGCTCACAGCCAGCACAACATGCTGACTATTTGTAGCTTCATCCCTTCCCTCACGGAGCTGGCGATGCAGTCAGGGAAAGAGGACCGACAGAGATGAAATAGTCCATAAATTAGACCTGGCAATATGGAATTAAATGCGAATTGTGTAATTTCAGCCATAAATGCCGAAGAGGGTCCATAAAGAGAGAGGCCCGCAGCTGACCAGTGTCCCGTTGGCCGAGTCCAGCGGAGCACCAACCGTAGGCGGTACCCCCCAGGGATGCCAGCACACTCCAGAGGCCATTGTTCTCTCGAGTCACAGAGGGAAAAAAAATAATTTCTGTTTCTTTAAGTCACAGAGAGGTAATGGCTGAAAAATACAATGAGTATAGATTTCCCCTCCCTGCTGAGAACCCCATGCATTTCTGCCTTGTGTCAGCTCTGAAAAACAGGAGGAGAAGGTAAAGAATGTCCTCTAATTGTCCAAAGGAGGGAACGCACACCAAGTCAACAAAGGGACCAAGTAGATGAGATCTTAAAACCACTCTTGGTCCCAGCTGTCTCAGGAGTTCCAAGTACCACACAATGTAGCTGGAGAGAATGTGTGTTTGGGGAGCGATATGGGAGTGAGCACCGTGATTGAAATTCTTCCCTTCCCCTCCCAAACTGATTATGCCAGGAATTTGTTTCATTACAGACTCCTCTACCCCTTGTTTACTTTTTCTTTGGTTGCTCCATCCAGTGTTTTCCGCTCCCAACTCCCACAAGTGTTGCATTCTCTGCGAGAGCATTTGGGGTGAATCTGCTGTTCCAGCCCGGCTCAGGGACGTGTGCATTCTTATTCTTCCTCTTCCTTACTGTTTCCTTTGGCACTGCCCCCCACCCCTCATGCCCCCCATCCGCCAACCTTCCTTCTCTCACTTTGCTCCAACTGTGCTCTTGCATTTCCACCAGCTGGTGGAAACATGGAAGCACGCCCTTGGGCATGATTGGGGCCGTGGCGAGCACAAGGCCACTCTCTCTCCTGCTGCACATTCTCTTAACAATGCAGAAGGTATCTCTTAGTATAAATGTATGATTGAATTCTGACTTTTTAAAGGCTGGCATCCTGTAGAATGCATTTTTGTTAAGCTAAGTGGCGAAGGACCTTTGAAAACAAAGCCCAACCTCTGCCCTGGGTATTAAAATCTTGGTGCTCATTTCGACAGCCACCTGCCATACTCTGCTTTTTCACTAGGACTCAACTCCTTCATCTTGACTTATTCTCATGACTTCCACAGGACAGACTTCCTGTGTCACACCACATCCCTTCAGAACTTTCTCCAACCTCCCCTGTTCTAGGTGCCCCCACCATAAGTCTGTTTGATGGACAGGAGTGCTGGACAACCCAGGGCGTCTAATTCACAAGTTGCAGATTCCCCTGAAGTTGAGGTGTCCTGGTGTAAGCCACCTCCTGAATCTCGATCTCTTCTACAGAAAGCCTGCCGACCTGCACAACCTTGCCCCAGGCACCCATCCGCCCTTCTTGACCTTCAACGGGGATGTGAAGACGGACGTCAATAAGATCGAGGAATTCCTGGAGGAGACTTTGGCTCCTGAAAAGTAATGAGCTGCTTATTTCTGAAGCTAATGGCAGGGGTGGGTCCGTGTTGGAATTAGAGAAGCACCGTTAGCTTCGAGGAGGCAGATTTCCAAAGGAGCCTCATCAATCCAGAGCGTAGGGCCCTCTTCTCAAGCCCAGAGAGTTGCCAATCTCAAAACCATTCCACCAAGTCCAACTCCAAGAGTGGACACCCCTATGAACAGGATCTGCCTCCTCAACAGAACACCGGGAAGTGTGTCACCCCTCCATCCCCCTCCATGAGTCCTCCCCAGTTCACTTTGCCTGAAAGACCCCTAAACGAGGGCAAAGTCTCCCCTATTTTAGAACGAGAACTGGAAGGCTGACAAAATGAGAGTAAGCCAGGAGAGAGGTAACCCATGACTTAAAACCACACCCAAGTATAAACAGGAGTCACAAATCTGACCATGTCTGGTCAAAGCCCATAATCAAAGACGTGAAGACTGACTCCTTTTCTAAACTGGGCCCTGGGGCGGTTGGGGATAGGAAAGAGACTAGAGGGCTGTAGGCTCTCCGGTGGACCAGCTGCCCCTGAAGGAAAACCGGAGTAAAGGGAAAGAAGGTGAATTCTGAAAGTTACTGGAAACTAGACTTGTTCCTTATACTCTATTATAATCAGGGACTAAAACAACCACACTGTTTTGTTTTAACTAGAAAAAGATTTCATATAAGTAAGGCTCACACGGACTCCATCCTGTAGGACAGCCACTGAAAAGTTTGAAGTAAAAGTATTTAGAGTCAGTTTTCAGGCTTACTTCGGGGGGTGGGAAGATGAGGAGGGCAGAAGATGGAAAAGCCAGAGGTGGAGAAATCAATTAGGAGGAGCCACTTGATGATGGTCCATGGAAGACAGGCAAGGTGGCTGATTTAAGGCAGTGACAGTGAACTGGGGGCAGAGAGGTAAGAAGGACTCAGTATCTACCCAGCACCTAAAATAAGTGGGATTGGACCACTGGAAACCACCATCTTGCATTTACTTTGAAGTTGTATTTATTTATCAATAATTTTATAGCCTTCACCAAGTGCCCTAGGAGATAGGTGTTACCTAGCCTCATTTTGCAGCTGGGGAAACTGAGGTATTGAGAGGTTGAGTCACTTGCTCAAGGTCACACATCTAACAAGTGACTGTTAAGTTAAAATTCCCAATTGGTGCTCTGATTAAGCCTTAATATCTATACATTCTTCCTAAAAACTATTCTTGGTCATCCACCTTAGGGCAGTTTATTTTCACACTGAGAGTGGAAAGCTGCCTCGAGCCCACTGGAAGCAGCTGAGTATAGACTTTAAATGAGTGTATTGATTAAATCAGCCATAACCCCCATCTCAGCCACCACCAGAAGCCACAGCATCTCCAAACAGGACACCAGCCAGCCACTTTGCTGAAAGGGTCCTGAGAGGGCTCCGGTGCCATCCCTCCACCCTGGGACTCAGCCTCATTGCTGGTGCTGGTTTGAGATCCCACACGAGAAAATAAATGCTGTTTGCAATAACTGAACAGAGTTTAGACCTGTGCGTGGGAGCCCCAGAAGGGACTGTCCAGGGGAAAGCTGTTTTCCTTTGAGAAGCAATACTCGAGCTCAGGAGTGACCACTTCCGTCTAGGCCAGTGGGGAACACGAAATGGGAGTGGTGGGGAGCACACCCACCCGGTCCTTTGCCAGGCCAGTAGGTGGAGGTATGCAGGGCTGGGCTGAGCCCCCTGGGGCCTGAGGCCTTCTCTCCTAGAGTCCTCAGGAATGCCCTTTAGATGACTTTGTATGGGTCACACTGGGGCGGAGGCCATCATTACCTTCTAGTAAATGCCCCCAAGCCAGTGTCTTGGCCCCACAAAGGGAGACCTGCTATTCTGCCCACAACAAGTTACCAGCCCCGGGTAGCTGCCCACTCATTCGAGCAGCGAGGCCTCTGTGGCCCAAAGCCGAGGCCCCTGGAGGAGCCCAGCTTGACCTTCTGGTTCTCTAGGGGGCAGCAAAACCCCCAGAACTGTTCACCTAACGCTGTTCTGCCACGTGTTTCTCATCACACCACTGTTTGTAAAAGCTGCCAGAGAGCCAAGAAATTGTGGTAGCCTTTTTCCCCTTAGCTTTACTTTTTAAAAGAAAAAAAACCACATGCAAACACTCCAACCATTTTTTTTTTTTTTTTAAATCACATTTGGTCCCACAAAGCATTTGATGTCAAAAGAAATTCAGGAAGTCTCAAGTAGTTTCTAAATGAGACTAACTTCCATTTCTTTCCTGAGACTGGCCTGGTTAACACTCAACAGGGAAGCACTGGGATAAGCCTGGTGATTACTGTCGAGGCATGCCGGGCCTCACCTTTCACCTCCACAGAATGGCCAGAGTTCAGAGGATCCAGAACTGAGAGGCAGGAGAGCAGACTCTGGCCACCTTTCTATCGTGTTTGCAGGTTGGCCTTGGGCCAGCTTCTCTCCCATTTCCTCATGAGGGGGTAGAACTGTGTAGTCCCGAAGATGCTTTTCAGCAGAAGCTCTGTGATCCCATGAGGGTCTCAAAGCCCTTTCCCAGAGCTGGTTATTTTTTATGATTCCCCTTGTGCATAGATGGTGTGAGAAGAAGCCAGGAGGGCAAACTGATAATGGATCACAGCCCAGCAAGTAGTCAGTCAACTAGCAAGTACGTACTGAGGACAAACGGGGTCCTGAACATTGCCAGAATTGGAAGATGCTTTGGATTCATTATTTTGAGAAGTGTTTATAGATATCTCACAATAGAGAAAAACAGGAATTCTTCTTATCCTCCGGGAAGTAGAGGAGTAGCCTTGGTACCAAGGACAGGATCAAGTGGTGGCTGAGAAGATGGACTTTGGGGTCAGAATGGCTTGCATTCTAATCCACACCACGAGGTTGTGCCACATAAATTAGCCATAGAATCTCAGTAGCTTAGCAGAATACAGTTTATTCCTCACTCTGGCAAAGTCTAAGTGGGCAGTATGGCCCTCTTCCGTATTGTAGCCTTTGGAATATGTGATCCCGAAGGCTCCTTCAGCAGAGAAAAAGTAAGAAGGTTCGTACCAAATGTTTTTAAGGACCGGGGCTGTGAGTGGTTACATCACGTCCCTTCTCATCCTATTGGCCAAAATCCAGCCGCATGACCCCAATCTAACTGAGAAGCAGAAGCTGGGAAATGCGGAGAAGTACATGGATATTTAATCTTTAATTCTCACATCTGTAAAATAATGATTGTAATGTTGATCTTGTGGGCCTATCATAGAAGATAATACTACTTAGCCTAGTGCCGAACATCAAGTAAAAAGCTCATGAAGTGGCACCTTGAAGCATTAGAAAGAGAAGTCACTACCTTTTTTGTGACTGTCTTCCAGATTTAATCATAAGGACTTTCGTCTTAAAACCGCAGATCCCAAGGGATGTCTCTTAATGACTAATCCAGACCCTGTCTACCTCTAAGGATCATTTGCTTAATTAGCAGAGACAAGACAAGCAAGCACACAGCCAAGGATCAGAAGAGTCAGAAGCATTAACCTGCTTTTCAAGTGAGGGTTTGGTGAGATGAAGAAGCAGGAATAAAGGAAAAGGGAGAGAACTTTTCAGCTCATTAGAAAAAGGAAGGTCAACACTCAAGCTGCCAGGGAGCCCCTAGGATCGGCAAAGGCCCTTCCATCAGGGCAGGAGAATTGTGTCTCTTTCTCCAGTGTATCCCCAACCCCAGGGACAGGACCTGGCCATGGTGGATGCTTAATGCATGCTGGTTTTATTGCGTGGGCCCCTTGTGTTCAGTGGCATGGTGGCCTGTGGCTAGTCAGTGAGAAGTCAGTGGGGGCCCTGAGCCAGTCAGAGCACTTCCATCTGCATATATATATGTATATATATATATATATACATATATATATATATATATATAATTTTACTACTATTTACAAATTTTTTTTTTTTTTATGAGAGGCCAACTGTTTTGCATCCCAGAGTGAAGCTTAAGTGCATGTTTAAGATGAATGCTTTTGAAATAAGATATCTTAAAAATAGAACGGAGAGAAATTGTCATCAGGTAGAGCAGGGGTCAACAAATTTCTCTGCAAGGGGCTAGATAGTAAGTCTTTTTGGCTTTGGGGGCTGTAGAGTCTGTGCCACGGCTCTGCTGCCGTGAGAGTGCAAGCAGCCATATACAACACCTACATGAATGGACATGGCTGTGTTCTAATTAAATGTGTGAATACTGAAATAGGAATTTCATATTATTTTCACAGACCCCAAAATACTACCCTCCTTTTGATTTTTTTCAGTCATTTAAAAATGTTATAAAAACTATTCTTGGTTCATGGGAGGTATATAAACAGATATTGGGCTGAACTTGGCCCATGGGCTGTAGTTCACTAACTCCTGAGTTCAAAAAATTCACCATCTCTTTGACTGTCATCACACCACATCACCGTCTTACTTCAAAGATGTTTCTATGAATGAGACACTATTTCTTAGCCTTCTAGAGAAACAGAATGTACTCTGTAGCCCACTTATTTGCATATACAAAATATGGTATAAATACGGAGTGAACATGAATGCCCTTAACATCCCAGTATAATAGCCTCCTCAAGTCTAGTTACCGAAATCAGTGAGATTAATAGTTGGATACACATTTCCCACAAAGACAAACTTCAAATGGGACATTAAGCTGTACAATAAAGTCTCAGGAAATCATAGTGCTTAGAAAACAGGCCAGCACTAGCCTGGTTTCCCTGAACACATGGCCCTGGGGTTGTCCATTTTAGATTTGGTTCTATCTACTCATGATGGGCCCACACTGATGGTGAAGAAATGGTCAGATTATTGCAAGTCTGGTCAAATGATGGCATAAAGCAAAACAAAACAACAAACCCAAACAAACAGTCTACTGAAAATGCATTTTCTAGGCCCTCTCTTTTTACCTTATCAAGCAAGAACAAAGAGCACTTGGTATTTATTAATAATAATTTAAGGCAATCAGTTCTGAGAGCCTGCCAGATTCTGTGTGCAAAGGCCAAAATAAGGAAGGATGATCCTAAATTGCCATGGTCTTGGATTACCTAGCATCCTGCAGGAACTTGCCTGGTGCCCCGCTGACGGCAGATGAATCTGATAATTCCCAGTATACTCAAGATGTGTGTGCTGAACCTGTGCAGAGCGCCCTCTGCAGGCGGATGGAGAAAGTGCATTCATGGTGTTCAGCTGAGCTGGAGGGAGGGCTTTGGGGCTTTAAGGGTAAATAGCAGAGTCCAGGAGAGGCCAGAAGACACCGAACTGGAGAGCTGGGCTTCCAGAGTGAAGCTGCCTAGGTTGGAGTCCTGGCTTTGCCCCTTATCCATGTGACCGTAGGCAAATTGCTTAACTTCTCTGGGCCTCCTTTTTCTCACGTGGGAAATGAGCCCAATCAGAGTACCAATAGAACTGAAGAATAAATGATGGATACGTATAAAGGGGCTAGCACAGTGCCTGGCCCGTAGCAGGCACTCAGTGCAAGTTAGCTTTTGCAGATATCAGAGAAGTGGCGTGATGGAACAGGAAGAACACTGAGGGCCGGGTTCTCACAGTCCCCCAACGATTTATTAGCTGTGGGTCCTTAAAGAACCCTTCTACCTTTCTGGTCTCTAGCTGTCTTCCCTGTAGAGTGAAGACCAGAATGCCTTCTGTATCTGCCTGATGGCAGAGGGCTGGACCCCACGACTTTCTGAGGACTCTTCCGATGGCAGTATCTGAAATTAAACAGTCAGTTAGCATGGCCCAGGAGTGGACAGTCCTAGCTAGCTAATGGGCCAATCAAGGAGCAGCAAGAGAGAGAGAGAAAGAGAGAAGGAAAGAAAGAAGGAAGGAAGGGAAGGGAAGAAAGAAAACAAATAATTTTTAAAGACTTTTTGGTTCACATTATTTACAACATTAAAGGAAATTTAAAAAGTATTTTTCTTTTTAACATAAAGCAATCAAACAGTGGGCAGTAGACAACTATTCACCCAGAGATCACAAAGGTCCACATAATTGATAATGATGATAAGTAAGCAACTGTCCCCCATCTCATTCCACCCTGCCTGGCCATACACATAAAATGTTTGTGAAATAACATTTCTAGAAAATTTGATCGTGCTAAGGGGGTCAAAGCCATGGATTCCCACACAAGCAAGCTTATCTCATTCAGTTTTAGAGCCAATAGAAACTAGTCCTAACTCCGGTCTGCCTCTTATATTCTTCTGGCTTCAAATGAAAGACTGTGCCAAGGTGAGAGGCTGGATCATTGCAAATCTAGCTCCAAGCCTGGAAATAAAGTAATCAGAAACACTCGTCCTGCGGTTAGAGCCCGGTAGATTCCACTATTACTGCACATGAATAAGAAGCGTGTGAAGGATATTTCAGAAGAGGACCAAGGGTACCCTTTCTTTTGAGAAAAGGCTTGATAGCCTCAATGGCAAGGTGCCTACTATCTCCTGGCTTCTAGAATTAGTTCTGTACAGTGAGGATTATCATCACAGACCTGGCAGTGGATAGTTATTTTAATATGGGTTGGGGAACTGTCAGGGACCACACTCGATGTAGAGGCAAACTCCTCCAGAATTTTGATTAGCCCTTTCTTTGGTGCAGCACTGTATGGTGGTCTCGGATGAGACTCGGGCCCTCTGAGGGGCCTTCTGGTTCCCCGCCCACAGATTGTGGCCCCCGCAGGCAGCTCTCCTCACCTCGCTGACCTCTGTTTTCTCTGTCAGTGAACTGGGACAGAGAGTGCCCATTCTCCCTATAGGCTGGGCGTAAGATCCCCCCCCAAAGATTTGCAGATCAAACTAGAAAGGGGGATGTTGCACATCGTGTTGGGCATAGTCTCTCCCTTAAAGGAACTCCACGTTCTCACTGATTCGAGAACACCACGCCTTCCATTCCAGGTACCCCAAACTGGCTGCGAAACACCGGGAATCCAACGCGGCCGGCATCGACATCTTCTCCAAGTTCTCGGCCTACATCAAAAACACAAAGCCGCAGAACAATGCTGGTGAGTGACCCACTTGCACCCACAGCTCTTGGCAGTTGTGCCCACTACCCAGGACGTCTCAGTTACTCGGGTCTGAGAAGCGCCTGGAGCCAGTGCTGTTCACTGTTTGCCCACACCCGTGTCCCCCGTGACACAGGGAGGGCGTGTCGATCCTTCTTTTTGTCCAGTGCAAGAGAAAAAGCCAGTGGGCCTTTGTGCTGAATTTGGAGGGAGGGAGACACTTTGTGTTCTGAGCCTGCCTTACTGCACAGCGTAATGGTCTGCCCAGAAGTTTCCTGCCTCGGCCATACCGCTGACCATTTGTCCCAAATTCACAACCCTGCCTGGGTTCTTGGGAGGCCCTGCCTGGAACCACATATTCCAGCTTCCTTCTGGTCCCTGCAAGCCTTCTCAAGGAGTCGTGCAGAGGTCATGGGGGGACAGCACAGTCACCATGTTGGTGAACGCTGCAGGTGGAACCCAGCCCTCTGCTTCCTCCCCCTACTGCAAGTGCAGAGGGTACTGGGGAAGGCACAGCTCAAAACCTGTTTCCTCCTCCATCTGGCCTTGGCTACAGAGCCCAAGACTAGTTCTCCCGTGAGGCCTTTTCAGAGGGGTCTCAGCGCCTCATTTAAGCTCCTAGCACTTTAAGTACCTCATTTGGCCTTTCCTTTAAGAATTAGACAAAGCAATTTGAATAGAACCATCCAATTGAGTATGTGTAACACTTGAAGAACTGTGTTAGACCCTAGGAGGAAAAAGAAGAAGGATGAGCAAGTTTGCTTGCCTCCCAGTGGGAGAGTGAGACAGCCTTATGGGCAGGAGCCTGGAGCCCAGCACAGAGCCAAGCAGAGCAAGGACTTCACGAATCTTTGTGAATAAATGAGTGAACAAATGACCATCAGATGAACACACAATGGACCCACACAAGGTGGGATATGTTAGACGCTCCAGGAGCTCAGAGGAGAAAGGCATCTTTTTGGACAAGGTGACCGGGAAGGGCAGCCATCGTGAAGCGAAAGGGAAGATGTTTTGGCAGGAACAGAGTCGGTGCAGTGGAAAGTAAATATTTTGGTAACAGTTATTGGGGGCCTGGATTATAAGGGGCACAGACTAGATTCTACAATAACTAGAAAAAGATACTTCCCCAGTCTTGAAGATCGGGCTGGTACAGGAGAAAAGGCTTAAATTGGCAGAAAGTCAAACAGCAAGAAAAGAGATAAATGATGGCTTCGTCAAGGGAGTCTGAAGAGCTGATTAGCTGCCGTGTGAAAGGGGAAGCAAAAGGTGTTCAGGGATGTTCAGAGCAGGAAGAATTTACCTCAGGGCCTTTGAGAAAGCTGCTCTGAGGGGGTTTCATCTGGCTCATGAAGGTTAAGGGAGAGTCAGTTGGCTTCGCATAAAGGGAGGAGGTCATGGGGGGAGGTGGGAAAATGCCCGTGGCAGAGACTGAGGGAGCCATCGCAGCCATTAGAGGCCCGTGAGGAAGCACGAGAAGGAGACTGGCCTTCAGGAACAAGAAGAGGAAGAAGAAGAAGAAGGGATGTGGAGAGGTTTTAAACATGGATAGTGCTCTAGCTTCTATGCTGTTTGGACCTTGGTGGGCGGAAGAGTGTCCCCAACAAAGCCATGTCCTCCCGGGACTTGAGAGTGAGGTCTTATCTGGAAGTAGGGTCTTTGCAGATGTAATTAGTTAAGGGTCTCGAGATGAGGTGGTCCTGGATTTAGTGTGGTCCCTAAATCCCATCACTGGTGTCCTTGTAAGAAGGGGAGTGGGCACACAGAGACCCGGGGAGAGGTTCGTGTGAAGGTGGGATGGAGATTGGGGTGCGACAACCAGATTGGAGGGCCACCAGAAGCTGAAAGAGGTGAAGAAGGACTCCCCTGTAGAGCCTTGGGAGGGAGTGTGGCCCTGCGGACAGCTTGATTTTGGACTTCTGGCCTCTCAAACCGGGAGAACAGATTTCTGGTGTGTTGAGCCACCCAGTTTGTGGTGCTTTGTTGTGGAGGGGCTGGGACGCAAAGGCAGCCCCTCTGGGCCGTGTGCACAGGGCATTCAGCTCTGGTTTGCAGATTCCACATCCAAGGCCCTTTCCTCTCAGCCACAAATACCTTCCTTCAGACTTGTCAAAGCACCCTCAGAAGGATTATCTCATGGGAGCCTTCCAGAGTTTTCAAGTTACAAATGGTATTTATGTAGTATCCATATTTACAGTTCTCCTATCCCCAACCCCAAAGCAGCAGTTTCCACTGAACATCCCATATCGGTTTCTTATAAACTCAATGCTCTCCAATTTCCATTGTTTCCACTTCTTCTCTTTCCCCCTGTTTTTCTCTGGGATGGGTTCTGCCCTTGTGACTCCTTCTCCCCTGAACTCATCTGCCCCGGCCTTTCTGCTGTCTCAGAGAGCCTATCCCCATCACAGCCCTTGGCATGGGGGTTTTCCATCCTGCCTTTAACTGGACTCCGTGCATTTGTTCCTTCCCTGTTAACCATAGCCTGCCCACCTCCCACTGCCCTCCTCCTCCACTTTCCCTTCATTCCACCCATACCCCCCCAGTTCAGGTCTGCTGGGTCCAGAAGTTCTTAGGCTCAGCGAACCAGAAGCCAAGACAGAGAGTAGCACCATGGCCCACCCCACTCGGCCGCTTGCCCTGGAGACGGTCCACACCCCACTCTGCTTCGTGCCAGCCCGGTAGCAGGCAGCCCCTCCTGAGGCTGCAGCAAGAGACCCCAGGCTTCCTTTGACACCCCTCCCTACACGACTTTCCTGTTTCTCTCTCTGGATCTTCAGCTCTGCATCTCTTTCTTCAGTGTCCCTTCTTCAGATTGTCCCTTTTGTGTTTTCAACTTTCTTTTCTCTTGAAAAGAGCCCTCCCTCCCACCTTGCCACCCAAGGCCTCCCAGACCCCATATATACACTGACCATGGCGGTGTGCCTTTCTTGCCCTCTTGACATCAAAGTGTGAGAAAACCCAACCCGGTGACATGGTCCTGCCCAGTGGGTCATCTCTCCACTCCCGTGGTGGATGCAGGGACTGCCATTCAAAATGTTCCTGTTTCACAAAACCTCAAAAGTCCCCAGCTACTGAGACCCAGACCCTATCCAGGGAAGCCAACCACAGCTAGCACACAAGAGAACTGTCCTTTAGTTTGTACATTCGGCTGTTCGTTTATTCACTCAGCAAACACAGGTTGCATGGAGTGGCTACAAGTCCAAGCTAATGTTTAAAGGGCATTTCTTGTGTACCAGGCACCGTGCTAGGTTCTAGAGTTGTCAAGACGAGTGAGACCTAAGTGGCTGCTCTCAGTGAGCTAACTGGGGGACTGTAAAACATATAAACAGGCAATTACTGGCCTGGGTTGGGACTCCATATCTGCTGTTTCTAGCTGTACAACTCCACTAGAGAGACTTCTCTCTGAGCCTCTGTTTCTGCACCTATAAAATATACTTAGTAAGACTTTCAATTTCTGGATCTGCCAAATAAGGCAATTAATAGCATAGCCAGGTTGTAATGCAGATTCCTTGACTTTATAAGTCAGGGCCTACAAATCCTGACACGTGGGAAATGTTCATTTACTGTTAACTCTGATTATAGTTGCTCCTGAGAAAAACAAGGCAAACATGAATACTGGCATCAGAAACTACTGCTTCAGCTCTTATCCCCGCCACCCCCAGCCAGCACTTCCCAATCTCCCACTCATGTCATCTCATTTCTACATGTTTAACTTTGTTTCCCACTTTCTTGGTGCCTTCTACTCCTCTGCAAAGATACGTGGAAGAGCGTCCGTGCCCTGGCCCTGCCTGTCACACCTTCAGGGTTGTTGCATTCGACCCCGAAGTCAGGGTTTTGTGCTCTGGTTTGGTGTCTATCACTGTACGGCTTCCTCCCTCTGTAACCACCCTATCCGGGTCCCCTTGAGAGCAGATCCCACCTCCAGGCCCCACCAGGCCCCCTTCTCAAACTTGCTCTTCACTTCACCTAAAGATAGCACGGACTTTCTCTTGAGTCTCTCTCTCTCTCCCTCTTCCTGCTTGTGCACTCTCAAATAAATAAATAAATAAATAAAATCAATGTCTCAAGATCCCATATTTAGTAAGATGTTACATGGGCTTACTTTCTTGTCACTTGGGATCCCCTACCACCACCCTGGTTTGTGGGGGACACAAGGACTTTGTTTCTGGATGGGCTGCATTCCCAAAGCTCAGAGACCAGCAACTGCGTGGTGGTTCAACTTGCGGACTCTGAAATCCACTGCCTGGGTTCAGACCCCAGCTTCCCTCTCTTCCTGCTGGCCTTGGGACACTGGGCAAGTTACATCAACTCTCAGTGTGCCTCAGTTTCTTCATCTGTAAAGTGGGGGCAGTAACTGTCCATACCTCATAGGTGTGCTGGGAACAACGCCACTGCTGGGTTCAAATGTCAGCCCTTGTTCTGTGCTGTTATCCAGGGGCAAACAGGTACACCTCAGCGGAGAGGTCTGCGATAAAAGTGTAGCTTGAGGGGCTATATATATGATATAGTCCATGAGTGAGAAGAAGGGAGCACTAGGGACAACATGAAGGATCACCTACCCTTACGGGAGGGCAGCGAGAGAGAAGTCAGGGAGGAAGGTTAAGAAGGATCGGCCAGGGAGTAAAGAAGAAAGCTGGAAAAGGCAGAAGACAGGGAAGATCCTGAAGCTGAGGAAGGAAAGTTTTTTTTTTGTCTGTTTGTTTTTAAGAGTGATCTGTGGAACAAAATGCTGTGCAGAGGATCATGGGAATCTTCGTGTTACGCACAGCTCCCTGGAAGAGTCCCCGGGCATCCTTCTCTGACCGCACCCCACTCGCCTGCAGCAGCCCATTACTCAGATCCTACACAGCAAGAGGGACTCCAGGCTGGCCGGAGAAGCAGGGCCCTTCTCCCTTGGCGGGGACAGGGGGGATAGGCGCAGGAGGAGACCACCCGGAGGGAGGGCTGGTGGCCCCGAGAAAAGACATCTCTGAGCGTGGAGGGAGCAGATTTGGCTGGGTGGGTGTGGATTTGGCTGTAGGAGTCCCTGCTCTGAGCCCCTGCATGGTACTCTTTCAGTCTGGCAGACCCAAGTAGCGCCACTGGTTCAGTAGTGAAGGTTTGCGGCAGAAGGCTCTGGTGAAGGCACCAGCTTGGTCCATCCCGCCTTTGGTGCACCTGGTAACACAGAGGGCAGCAAGGAGCACTCAGCTCTGTCCCCACCCCAGCCCCGCGTCTGCCCTGCAGCTTGGCCCAGAGGCGGAGTCCAATGGTGGGGGCCTGGTCTCCACCCTCAGCGGCGCTTGGGCCTCCAGCTCTCACATCACATCCTCCGTCTCTCTTCACAAGTATCACCGGCAGGCCCTGCTGCTTTCATCCTCCTCTGAGATGCCATCGAGGCACCCAGGGCCCGAGCCCGGGCAGTGGCCCCGAAGGGACATCACTGCTCCTGGCTCTACCCCTTTGCTTGGGGACTTGCTTCCACCCCTCCGGAAACACGTCTTCCCCACTCCGTCCTCGAGAAGATGACCCGGGCTTTTCTCCCTCTTACATCGTGCATTTCTAACCCTCAAAATGCCATTTGAACAGACTCTAAAAATCTCTGCCAAACCCCTTGGCTTTCGAGAAATTCATTTTTGCTACTTACCCTAGTCTGGCTGTAAAATACTATATTTTACTTCCTCTTTCACAATCTCTCTTTTTCCTTATGCTTTAGTCCTATTAGGTCTACAGGTTTCTTTCAGTTTTTGAACACATTGCATGTTCCGGGTGATTAACAAAGGGGTCTAATGTGCATCTTTAGTTCTCTGTTACTATGTTTCAAGTCCCTTTTACATTTCTTTCAGCCCTATCACATTTCCCCAGATACAGTTATATTCCTGCCCAGTATCATTTCCGTGTCGTTGTTGGCTGGCGTTGTATTCTTATATACTTTTCCCAGTTTCTTTATGCTTGGAGAGGGAGTGGACATATATATGCATGTAGACGAAGGCAAAAGTCCTGTATTTCTCCTGTTCCGTTCACACCCGCACCTGCCATCTCCATCCTCGTGCGCATGCCCGCCTCCGCTGGACTCTCTTTCTCTACCTACTGAGATGGGTAAAAAGTCCCACCCCCAGTCTCTTTTATCTCATCCATACATCATGTGAAGCCTTATGGCTTTCCCTAGCCACGTCACACACATACATGTCAGGCTGCTGGTACCCCATATTTCTGAGCTGAATGTTTTTTTTTCCGAATTTGGATGATTTTGGTCTTTCCAGGCTTCCTTGGAAGCCCCTTCTCTCTTCCTCCTTCAAGTGTAGCATTCTCCTGTATTTTTGCCTCTGTGTTCTTCTGTCTGATGGGCCTTTTTATTTTCAAATGTATCCTCACTCCGCTTGGGCCAGAAAGACTCGAAAACTGCTCGCAGGGACACATAATGTACGGCAACGCAACATACACGAGAACGAGGTGTGAAGGGAAAACAAGGCGGAACCCTAAAACAGAACTCGGGGTGCGCTCAAATGGCAAAAGCCGCTCCCAGCGCCCCAATGCCACACACAGACGCAGACCACAAATTTGACGCTAAACCTTCTAGCACACGAAGCCAAAAGGCACCCGCTGGTCAGCTACAGTTTGGTTCTCCTTGTAGACAAAAACATACCAACCTCCCAGAAGAATAGCCAGTATTACTGATCCTGGGGGCTCGAGTCCTGGCATGGAGGACCTGCGATTTTCATTTGCTTTGGCCTTTGCCTTGTGTGATTTCCCTTCCTTTTGTCTGTAGACTCCGGACCGCTGACTTCATGCTCCTGTGACTTCTGTCCTCTTTCCCCCGCAGGCGCCCTTGGTTCACCCTGCCCCTCCCCCCACCCTGCTGGTCTTGACTTGTGTCCTCTTTCCCCCTAAAATGCATGTTCTTCTTTTTTCTCCCCATGTATCTTAAGGGCCCTGAGAGCCCCCTGCAGCTTCAGGCCTATGTCGCCAACTTTCCTGTTGCTTTTTGTCATTTCCAAGACTCGCATCAGCCCACCCACGCATGTCTGTTTTTATCATGAGGCTCAGGCCCCTGTGTGTGCTGTGTTTGCAAAGATGTGTCCCTTTCTATGTATGGAAGACACTGTGCTAGCCTACCATACCTTTCCTAAAGTATTTGTCCTAATAAAATACTTCTACCTTCCTAAATAAAGTCCTAAAAGCCTTCCTTGGGTACCTATGGTGTGCTGGACACAGTGCTATGTGTTTGGAGTAAAGTCCCACACCAGACACTGAGTTGTCTCTCTAGCTTTTGCCCTTCATTAGCTAGAAGTGTCCTGGCCATATTTTCTGAACTGAAGATCAGATGTTTAACAAATTGCTTTCATTGAAAATAATCCAGTTATAAGAAATTGGTACTGTCCCAGAAAATCCAGGACACATGTCCCCAAATGAAAAGCACCTGGTTGGGGCTTAGCCCTCTGTTCCCCCTTCTTCCCAACCCAAATCCAAACCCGGCTGCCACCACAGAGGGATGGAGAGTATATCATGGCTCCTACGACCTCCCATGCCCAGATCCTTTGCTGAAACACATGCTCGGTAGCCACGAAGGTCTCTGAGCCGTCCTGATTGTGTTTACAAATAAGGGCCAGGCTTTCCTCCTTCCTGAGACTCGCATCAGCAGCTTCACTTCCTGGGACCTGGAAGCAAGGCCTGGGCTCTCTGGGCTTATTCTGAGAAAATTG